GTATGTATGTATGTATGTATGTATGTATGTATGTATGTATGTATTGGAGAAAAAGTGAATACTGAAATGTGAATATTGAATAAAATAACAGGAAAACAGATCATATTAGGGGAAAATCTTATAAATGTGCCTATAGTACATAATGAAAAGGGAATATTAAAAATGCATATATTTGGAAAAAATCATATGGTTTTTCATGCACACTCTAATTGATGTAGGGCAGAATGAAAATAAGAATGAAAAAATAACAAATCTATCCTACTTCTTCACAAGCATTACATTTTCAGCCAAAAATATAGCTAATAAGGTGACCTGGTTTGGTGTTTTTTAAACTACTTCAGAACTTGGAGCACTAAACAAATAATTGGTTTATGCAGAACTTATCAATGGAAAGAAATGGTTCAAAGACCCCAAAAATCTTTTTTCAGATCTTGAAAACATGTCAAGAGCATTTTGTTTTATTTGGAGCTCAGTAGTTTTCCACAAAAGTGAATTTTAGGAACATTGACCCAAATGAAACATTGATTAGCAGCATGGGTTTTGTGGGAAACTATTTTTAATAATTTTGCAAAGTATAATTACCGTAGATTCAAAATAATCTTGGTTAATGGATTTGATTTGATTTTTATCTTGGCTTTATTAGTTCATAAGTAACTCAAGGAAGTGAGCATGCATAATTATTTATTTACAAGTTCTATTTACAGCTGATAATTTATCCTAGTTCCTTGCAGTCAGTACCACTAACCCACTGAGATATTTTGAATGCAGTATCTGCACGGTGTCTCCAGAAAACCAACTTTAATAATGCAGTGATTTAAGATACATAACTATTAAACCTCCCCTTTGGTACCACAAACACACATATGCTTTGTTTCTGTATCACTACAGTGGAATATAATTTATGGCACTATAAAACGTTTTACAACTAAAGCACAATGAAAGCTTAAGAATCCAGTCCTTCTGTAACATAGCCAAGGTTTATCTTTTAACATTTAGTTATGGGATGACTCAGATTGACAAGAGCTTTCATGTAGATGCATGTTTGTTGACTATGTTGCCACACAGGTGGGTTGTAAATTCTGGCGCTACCAGTTCGCTCTTGCACATGCTCGCGTACACACACAATGCTTTTGTGAATGCGCAGAAGCATCCAAGAGGGTGGGCTGAGCCTCCCGCTGCAGCCACTACCAGTTTGCCAGAACCGGGCCGAACTGGGAGCAATCCACCTCTGGTGCCACAGATGAAGTTCTACTTTAAAGAAGCTTTCCATTTCCCCTTCCCACTTTCTGTGGAAACCAGTTTAAATATGGTTTTCAGATTCTTACATCGTATTTTAAAATTCTAGAAATTTCTTCGATTTCAAAAGCTGGAACTTTACCTGATTTGTGTGGCCATGTTGAGTTCTTAAGATACATGCCACTCTTGTACATATACAAAACTCTTTCAAGATGAATGGCTGTTTCATCTATTCCCCAGCGAAGTTCTCCTATAAGAAGACAAATGGGGGGAAATGACTTAGAGAAGAAAATAAACTCTGCCCTTACAGAAACTCCAGGAAATGTAGAAAGAAAGGCACAAACCTATCATTTTAACTGATTGAGGGAATGAGGGGGAGTAGGCGTGGGGACATCAATGGAGGTTTAATTTCTCGTGTTTACATTTTCACCTTGAAATTCAACCAGAAAGAAATGAAACAAAAGGTATCATTTTTATATGGTCTGGTATAAAATGCGAAAGAAAGAAAAAAGGAATAGAATCATTAGGGGGTTGAAAAATGCCATTCAGAATAGGTAAGGTAGCTGAGTGGCAAGAATAGAAATCTTCGTCCTAATCATCAAGAAATTGGAGGTCTTCCAAAGAAATTCAGTACTGAACAGGTAGTCTTCGACTTACAACAGATCATTTAGGGACCAAAGTTACAATGGCACTGAAAAAGTGACTTATGACCGTACTTCACACTTACGACCTTTGCAGATTCCCCATGATCATGTGATCAAAATTCAGATGTTTGGCAACTGGTTCTTACTTAAGGCCATTGCTGTGTCCCATTGCTGTGCTCATGCGATCACTTTTTTCAACCTTCTCACAAGCAAAGTCAATGGGGAAGGGATTCATTGAACAACTGCAGCAAGAAAGGTCGTAAAATGGCTTAACAAATGTCTCACTTAACAACAGAAACTTTGGGCTCAATTGTGGTTGTAAGTTGAGGACTGTATGTTCTTACCGGTAGCATTGACTATCGCATCGAGCAACGGCTTCAAGGATGAAGGGGCACTGTGAGGCAGGAGATATGTAAAGAAAAACCTACAAAACAATGAAGCGTGTTAGGTTTGCAATAGTTTGGTAATTGCTGTTGAGGAACACCAATGAATAATAAAATTCCAGTAATGTGCACATTCTTCATGAAGAAAATCTATCCATAAGATCAGTAGGGGTGGACAGCAACTTAAAATGGCACACAATCAATGATTATCACATTTCTGGGAATTGCAAAAAATAAAACCATGTGCTGTACAGGTAGTTGGTGACTTTCGGTGGCAATTAGGATTGAACTTTCCCTTGGTAAGGAATACAGTTGTAAAATGTGACTTTTATCTTCATTAAGCAAATCTCATGATTTAGAGTAAGGTAACTTCCCCTGAGTTCCCACAACCAAAGTTGGTGGGGAAGCTGGCAGAAACTTGCAAGTCCCAGGCTTCTTTCTTTACTATTAATTTATTAACTTTTCTATTTTTCTTCAACAAAACAGAATAGAGAGAAATTACAATTTTTCTTGATCTTCACACTCCTGATGATACAATGTAGGATTGCATTTAGAATATTTTTCCAGCCACATCAGTCAGTATATAGTGGCCAGTTTTGGTCACTACATTATAAAAAGCATGTTGCAACTCTAGAAAAAGTGCAGAGAAGAGCATAAGTCATGCCAATTCTTATGTAGGTTATGCCCAACCTGTGACCAATCCAATTGTACAACATTTTTGTGGCAGGCATTAAGCAAACCCATTGTCTACAATGAATGCTTTTTGCTGGAAATTGGAAATAAACACTCGTTTCCATTAAAACAAAAGTATAAATCATGGGATCCTGCAAACAACCATAAAAGTTGCCAAGTGCCAAAAATGTGTTCACCTGACAGCATCCAGCTGTCAGAATTTTGAATCTAGATTGTAAGTATCTTTTTTGGAATCCATTGAAACTTTGGTTATAAATCAAAAAATATACGGTACGTATTTCGCTATTCTTTCAGCTTATATACACGTGCATCACCATTACCAAGCTGAGTTCACAGATCAACCAGCTCCTTGTCTATTACTAATCTTAAAATACTAGCCCTGCCCCATAATCAAGAGATGTACTCATCTAGTTCACCCTCTCCACAATGCAGGATCAACTTTGTGGGATCTAGTAACCAAAATCTTTCACAAATGACTGCCCAGCCTATTTTAATCTCTGAAGTATAACTGCTCATATTCCAGGACAGTGTGACTTCCAGGACAGTACAATAACTTGTAACATAAGGCTACTCTTCCTTAATGCCTATTTTCTGGTTTCAATATGTAAACAATAATTTGATTTGTTAAATTATTGGTGTCCATTTGGATCAGTACCTGTATGCATTGTAAAGATTCCTCTTCTCATTCATGCTTTGGCATTTGCCATCAACAGAACAAGGAAGAGTGAAATTTCTTGCTGGAAATTCCATGAAACAATCTCTGTTGCTAGTGCAGAAGGTTTCCTCATTGCTGGCATCATCCAGATCTGTCACTTTGAGCTCTCCATCCACAATCACAAATTGTCGAGGTCGGAAATCCAATAGAGTTACAGAGCCAAGAGGAGAATGGGCCAGGTAATGCAGAAGCTGAACTAAGCTGAAGCATATCTGAAATCAGAAAAGCCAAGTTGTCACACATGGCTTTTGTAACAGAACAATCCTAATAATATCTGTTTATTGTTAGAGACCATGGAAATTGACAATAAGCCTTCAGCTTTCTTCATTATTAGAAACAGATTCAGCAACTATGAATGCCAAGTGTGCAACTGGAAAGTTTGCTCAATAATTTTTCTTGGTCCTTGGCATACAAATCTGGCTCTCTGATGTCCCGGGTGGAAAATGAAGTTAACATCACACATGCACAACAGAGGTGGGTTCCTACCAGTTTGGCCTGGTTTGAGTGAACAGGTAGTGGTGTGCTGGCCTGGGTCGCAGAACTGACAGTAACCCAGGCTGGCCATGCCTCCGAACCAGTTCCCCAGTCACCATAGTCACCGCCACCATCTTGTTTTGGAATTCTGCACATGCACAGAACAATTTTTACTGAAATGTGCATGTGCTGCAGCACACATCCAGTGCACATGAGCAAGCTGTCAGTAACGCCGGCTAAAATCCACCCCGATGCACAAATTTCTCAGAAACCAATTTCACCCAATGTTCCAGCATGATCTTGCAAGATACATTTCAAAGTCCACCTCCAGACTGCCTCCAGATGGCTCTGGCACATGGTGCAGCCACACAATTCCATCACATGAGAGTCTATTTGGGAAACAATGGGGCATAAAAATGCCATGGAATGAACTGGTTTCTAACATTGATCCATTAAAAATACTTGTCAGTTGCAAACTGTTCTGCTACAATATAAAGTTCTAGAAAAACCACACCTTAAAATGTATTCATTTTACAGATAGTTTTTGACTTATGACTACAACTGAGCTTAAAATTTATTTTGCTAAATGAGAGAGTTGTTAAGTTAGTTTTGTCCCATTTTATGATACTTGCCACATTTGTTAAGTGAATCACTGTAGTTGATAAGTTAGTAACGTGGTTGTTAAGTTAATCTTATTTCCCCATTGATGTTGCTTGTTGGAAGATCACAAATGATGATCACATGACTCTGAGACACTGCCATCATAAATATGAGCCAGTTGCCAAGCGTCTGAATTTTGGTCATGTGGCTATGGGGATGCTGCAACGGTTGTAAGTGTGAAAACAGTCATAGGTCACTTCTTAATGTGCCATTGGAAACAAACTGTTGTAAGTTGAGGACTACCTATACATTCAATGAGACCCAATGCCAGCCCATGACACCTGAAACAGCTTTTGAAGTCTTGGTCAGTAATTAATGATATCATCATGCAAATGCCATACTTATGCAGACATGTAACCTGTGAATTATTTGTATGACACTATCACACATGTCATCATTTTCCTCTTTCTCCCACTGCAAATAATCATGGTGTCAGTACCCTGGCATAGTCTACAAGTTTTGTCACTTCCCACTTACCTTACAGTAACTTGGAATTAGTACAATGATGCCTTGGTACTCAACTGCTTTGGAACTCATCGAGTTCATCAACAAATTTTGACATGAAAATTTTATCCCAATAGTCATAGTTTGTTTACTACTCAACACACAAGCTAGAACCTGTTGGTGTCAGCTGCTTTGTGGCTCACTACATTATGCCTTATGAGAAAAAACTGTTTGGTATTCATCATTTTTGGTACTCATCATCTCCCAGAACCAATTAAAGATGAGTATCAGGGTACCATTATAATAATATTGTCCCCAGGGAGCCCCTCTTCATTTTTGTTTTGGTTTTTTTTATCAGTCTCTGTCCTAATAGTTTTTAGGGGATTCAACTCCTGTATTCCTAACCAAAATGGTATTTTATGCTGAGAGCTCCAGTCCCGATACAGCTGAAAAGTGCCAGGTAGCAGAACTGATATCTTCACATAATGAAACAAATACAATGTTTAAAAGTTATGATATTTATGTAGCTGCTTACGAGGCACATCTACATTATATTAAAGTAACTGAAATATATTTACAATTGCCAAGTCGTGTCACAACATTTGAGCACCCCTAATGTTTGGAAATTGAAAGTTGAAAAATTTGAGCCTTCAGTGAATGGCTGTAATTGGGATCAGCAATTCTGTCACTAAGTGCCATGGCTGTAAAGTGTGTGTGTGTGTGTGTGTGTGTGTGTGTGTGTGTGTGTGTGTGTAAATCATATGAGTGTGCCAACTCACAATAGCAGTTACAGCAGTTGCAATCATTAAGTGAATAGCATGCAGTTGCTAAGCTCAACATCACCTAATTGCAACTTCATACTTCCTACTTGCTTCCTCTCTTTTGCTTGTGAAGATTGCAAATGGAATCACGTGTCTGCAGAATGCCACAACTATTACAGAAGTGTGCCAGTTGATAAAAATGTAAATTATGATCAGGTGACCATGGGGTCAGTGCAACTGCCACAATTACAGGTACTTGTCGACTTACAACGGTTCATTTAGTGACCATTCAATGTTATAATGGCACTAAAAATGGAGTTATGACTGTTTTTCACATTTATAACCATTTCAGAATCCTCATGATATGTGGTCAAAATTCAGACACCTACAACTGACTCATATACATGACGGTTGCAGTGTCACAGTGTCATATGATCACATTTTGTGACCTTCTGACAAGCAAAGTCAATGGGGAAATAAGATTCACTTAACAACCACGTTACTAACATCAACTGCAGTGATTCGCCTAACGTCTGTGGCAAGTAAGGTCATAAAATGCATCAAAACTCACTTAATAACTGTCTCACTAAGCAACAGAAATTTTGGGCTCAGTGTGGTTGTAAGTTGAGGTCTACCTTTATAAGGATCGAACATAAGTCTCTTCATTCAATACCATCATAACTCTGAAAGGTAGCTGGCTGCATAGTCTCTAAGCAAGGACTACCTATACTCATTTTGTGCATATCAAAACAGAGCCATTAGACCTTTGTAATTGTACTTACGTGAAACCTGTCCTCCCATGAAGTCTGCAAAAGCTGTATCATCTCCAATGGTGAACCTAGTTCTGTGATGGCAGTCAAGGTGTCTGAGATGTCATTGCTGTCTTGGTAACAATATCCATGAAGCTGCAAAGGCAGACATAGGAAATGTGATTTATAAACCCATTTATTGTATGGAGTTCTCCATCATCCCATTATCTACTGACCTCACACAGTGATACAGTTGAAAACCTGGACAAAAACCTTACTGTGCAGAGAGAATTGGCATATTTAGAACAGAACAAGAGTTAGCCTACAAAATAAAATGCTTCTATGCAGGAGACTGTTCACCAAGATAGATAAGCAGGTAATAAAAAGTAAAGGTTCCGTCAAATTGAATTCAGCTCCTGGGTAACTATATGGTCATGTCCCCAGATTTTTCTTGGCAGCAGCACAGAAGTAATTTGCTCTTCTTTTTTGCAGGTTTCACACACAGAGACACACACAGTTTTACAGACAAGCCTACAATTTCACCATTTCTGTATATGTAGCTCCTTTTCTCTCTGTTTAAAAAAATTTGTAAAAACGCCTGTCTTCTGCCAGGCTTTCCATTATAATTAATTGATTTTAGTATCAATTTTAATTAAGCTTTAAGTTTTTATACTCTATGCTTTCGCTTTGTTAGCTTTCCCTGAGAATCAACTGAATTTTTTGCAAAACAGAACTACAAGAGCCACAGAATTCCTGGATAGAAGTCCCCTTAAGCTGGAAATTATTTATTATGTATTATATTTATTATTATTATTGTTGTTGTTGTTGTTGTTGTTGTTGTTGTTGTTGTTGTACAATTGTATCACAGCGGCCAGTTGTTTCGCCGGATTTGGCATTGGTTACTAGTCGGGCCCCACCCAGGGGCCTAGGACGTCGTAACGTATTTTCGTAATATGTGTGCAGATCCAAGCATTCATCCAATTATTATTATTATTATTATTATTATTATTATTATTATTATTATTATTATTATTATTATTATTATTATTATTATTGATTAAATTAGCTGTCCAACTTGTG